GCCTTTTATTTCTTGTGTATGGGTCTCTCTCGGACTTCTAATACCTTGTTGAATAAAAGTGGGGAGGGTGGGCATCCTTGTCTTGTTTTGTTGTTTTTTTTTTTTTGAAGATTTTATTTATTTATTTGAGAGAGAAAGAATGAGAGACAGAGAGCACGAGAGGGAAGAGGGTCAGAGGGAGAAGCAGACCCCCTGCTGAGCAGGGAGCCCGATGCGGGACTCGATCCCGGGACTCCAGGATCATGACCTGAGCTGAAGGCAGTCGCTCAACCAACTGAGGCACCCAGGCGCCCCTTGTCTTGTTCTTGATCTTAAGAGGACAAGCAGTCCCCTCTTTACTATTGAGTATGATGTCAGCTATAGGCTTGTCATATATAGCCTTTATTGTGTTAAGGTGTGTTCCCTCTCTACCCACTTTGTTGAGAGTTTTTATCGTAAATGTATGCTGAATTTTGTCAAATGCTTTCTATGCATCAATTGAGATGATCATATAATTTTTATCCTTCATTTTGTTAATACGGTGTGCCACATTGATCTGCAGATGTTGCTCCATTATTGCATGTGTGGAATAAATCCCACCTGATCATGGTATATGATCTTTTTATTGTGTTGCTGAATTCAGTTTGCTATTATTTTGTTGAGGATTTTTGCATCTACATTCATCAGAGATATTGGCCTGAACTTTTCTTTTGGTAGCCTTGTCTGGTTTTGGTATCAGGGTAATGTTGGCCTCATAAAATGACTTTGAAAGTGTGTAGAAGAGGAGGGAACTCTTCTACATTTTGGAAGAGTTTGGGAGAGATTGGTATTAATTCTTTAAATGTTTGGTGGACTTCATCAGTGAAGCTGCGTGGTCCTGGACTTCTGTATGTTGGAAGGTTTTTGATCACTGACTCAATCTCATTTATGTTATGTGTATTTTACCACAATTTAAAAAAGACTATATTCGAAAAAAAAAAAAAAAAAAGACTATAGATTATGTATGTAATACACCTACTACAGTGTTTGTCACATGATAGGTACTCAGTAAATGGTAGTTCTTACTATTTGTCACAATTCAAAGCACATGGTATCATTAGTTCCCATTATGATCTTTGAGGTCATATTGTTGTTAAACAATGTCAAAAGTTAGGTCCCTTAGAAAGTAAACTCTAAGATGGAGATTAGTGTGCAAGAGGTTTATTAAGGGGTGCTCCTGGATCAATTCCTACAGAAGGGAAGGGAATGGAAGGAAATGGGATTGGACAACGGGAGAAGTTGGGCTGTGGCACAGCGACAAGGAAGGTGTCAGTTGGTGCCACAGGGAGTATAAAGCCAGCCTGTCGGAGCTGCGAGTTGTGGTGAGGTAGCTGGGATACCGCTTTTGTACGTACTTTATGTTGATCCATCATTAGATACGTGCTGCCTGGGAAGAGGACGTGCCCTTGAGAACTAAAACTCATGTTTCCGTGGCTCCTCGTCCGTTCAGACTTATCTCCAGTCCTCTGAATTGAATAAAATTTCCCATGCTGTCAGTCATCTCGGTGAGGAAAGAATCAGGGAATTTTCAGCTGTGGCTACAGTAGTGCTTTTCAAACCGTCCATATTGGAGCGCTAGTTATTTTCCTTTCCAGGCCTGCATGGACTGGTACTTTTATAAAATACACTAAAAATAAATTACTAAAGAAACTAAATAAGAAGGGAATACATCTAACACACAAGCTCAAATTCATTATTATTAGATTCACTAGGCATAAAATTGCTGGCCATTTTCAATAACAGGCTGTAACTGCCTACCTTCAAATTCTAAATTTATCTCATTGTAGACTACTAACCAAGAGTTCTCAGGCTGGTACCAATCCGGGACTCCACTCTAAATAGTCCTGGGTTATAGGACTTTTGCAAAACATTGTTGGTGTCCTTCCTAGCTGACATTGGCCATATATACATTGGGTTAAGTGAATGTTGTGCTTCAACCTCGAGACCTGATCTTTGCTGTAATGGGGGAATCCGTAGTTCTCTTCAAGTCTGGCCCGAATCCAGGAATACCATGACCACAGGTTCCAGGTATAAATAGTTCTGAGGCTATTCCTTACTCATGTTTTCATCTGCTTCCTCCTAGAGTCAATTACATAAATGAGGAAAAAGATGGAGTTTATAAGGATCTAATGGATGAAAGGGACAAAGACCGTTTTCTTGTTTTGTTGACCATTAGGCTGCTCCTGTTTCTGACAGTAGGATAACTGACTCATCTCTCAGCATCATCCTCTCAGGACATTTGGTGTCGGGATAGGGAGATAAGAGAACAGGGAAAGGAGGTTTGCGAAGTAGAGTATAACCTTCAGGAAAGAGGTACTAGTAAAAACAAAGGAGCCTTGATATAGTCAAAGAGTTTATCAAGCTTTATCATCTTATTCAGGGAGTTCAACCTAAGCCCATGGTTGTAGCTTTGGTTGATCTATGAATCCCCTGCATTTGTGCCTTTATTCAAGAGGATGCTCAGAGTGACCCCAAAACTAAAAGTGACTTAACTCTCTAGTTTGAAACAGAGATTCGGTTTCCCTACTTGCAAGGAGTCAAGTCACCAAACATTCTCATTTGGACCTACTGTACTAGCTTTTCGCCACATCAACCCTCACCATCCCTGCTCTCTCTTTCTGTTCTCCACATCACTGTGTACTGAACTTTTCAAAATGCAAACTATCTGTTTCTGACACACACACCACTTATTAAAGCCCTTCAGAAAAGCTGACCATTACTCTTAAGATAAAGATAAAACTAGATAAGAGGTCTCACATGGCCTGCCTACCTTTCATCTTGACGTCACACCACCTTCCCTCCATGCTTTCTCCACACTAGCCATCCTGGCCATCTCTGACCTCCCCCCCCCCCCCACCATCCCTTGGGTCCACAGAGCTTCTGCAGATGCTGTTTCACCCCTCAGGCTCTTCTCCCACCCTTGGGTGCATTTGCTTTCTCTGGCCTCTCTGCCAGGACATGTCCCCGTTACAGAGACCTGTAATGTAGCATTTGTTACAGTTCCTTGTGATTTTCCATTAGTGTCTGTCTTCCTCACTAGACTATGTCAGTGTTACTCACCTTCCTACGCCCCGGGTGAAACAGAAAACCAGGTGTAGAGCAGGCCTGCCGTAGGTATTTATGGTTGAGTGAGTTAGCAGTTCTCTTCCTCACTTAGAGAAAACGAAGGTGCAGAGACTAGGAAACAGCTTCAGTCCACATAATTGACGGTTGGAGAAGCTGGGTTTGAACCCAAATATGACTTCAAAGCCCTTGCTCTTCACTAGTATAATAACAGCGACAATGGTCATTTTACCAAGCACTTGTTATATGCCAGGGGCTGTGTTAAGCATTGTGGCTCTGTCACATTTCATCTTCTCAACCCTACAAAAGAAGGTGGCTTTTCTGTCTAGTTTGCATATGAGCAAACTAAAACTGAGAGAAGTGAAGTACCTTGTCCAAGCCACACAGTCAATGGTGGAGCTGAAATCCAAAGCCAGACAGCTTTATTTCCAGAACTTACTGAGCTGCCTTGTCATATCAAAATGCTAGGCCCCTCAAGATGATTTCATGTTTCCAGCTTCTTTTCCGAACGGAGCTAGGTGGCTGGTAGCCCAACCCTCCAGCCTGAATCTCTCTGAAGTGTCTGATGGTTACCTCCAATCGCTCAGTTAGGGGGATTCCTGGTAGGTGGTGTGGAGGCATATGTGGGCAAGGTGGGCTTGCCTTTCCTCCAACCATTTCACATTCCTTCTTTGGATGGAGCCAGACCTGGGAAGGGGGAGGATAAGGATCAAGGTGGGCTTGTGCCTCCACTCCCACTGATAGGAGGGCTGGGGAAGGTGATAAGCTTTCCCACACCTCCTGCAAAATCTCCGAAGGGGCAGCAGTTCTGACTGGCAGAGGGAACTTAGATGGGAATGGAGCAACAAACCTGTGCAGCAGGAGGGGAGTGAAGGTGGGAGGTGGGAGGGCTGGGGGGGTGGGGAAGAGAGAGGACAGAAGAGCTTTCCCTTCAGATAACAGAAACTCAAAACATCAGTGCCTTAAATAAGTGAAGGATTTATTTTTTTTTACATGTCAGGAAGTTCAGAGACAGCTAGCCCAGCTCTTCAGAGACCTAATGGAGGAGCTGGGCTCCTCTCTTCCGCTCGACCAACCCTAAAGCATTGGTGTTTTTTGTTTTTTGTTTTTTGTTTTTTTGGTCACAGGGTGGTTCCTTTTGCTACTGGCACTGCGTCCATGTTCCAGGCGAGAAGGGGGGTTGGGAGGAAGGGCAAAAGACAGGTGCCAGCTAAATCTGCCCAGTTTAAAAAAAGCTTCCTTGGAAGCCCAGCAGTTCCAACTAATACATCACTGGCCAGCCCTGGACCCCAGGCCCACTTCTCCTAGCAACAAACGAGTCTGGAGAGGTAGTCTTTTGGCTGGGCACACTGCCTCCCCAAGCAAACTGAGCTTCTCTTATTGAGGGATAAAGGGAGAATGGGTGTTGAGAAACATCCACCAGTTTCTGTCACAACACGTTTTCTTTCCATAGTCTCCTCCCCTGCTGGATGGAATCCATCACCTTTCTCCAGCCCTTCTTCACCAGCTTCTTGACTCTGCTGAGAGGAACACCATTCCTTAACCCTAGTTTGCCCTAGAGCTTGATCTTAGTACGTGGGGGCTGGGGGTACCGGATACCTGGAGGTTTCAGGAACACAAGACAGTCCCTATCTTCCTGGAAGAAAGGTCATTAAAGAGAGGAGGATGGAAAAAAAATGAGCCATAGAGAAAAAAAAAAGAACCCTATAAATGTGTTTCTTAATTAAAATGATAAATTTGCTCTAAGCATAGTATAAATTTACAGTATAGCACATTCGTTTGCATGAACTATTCACTATTTGCTCTTGATTGTTCTGTAGCAGAATGATTATGTATACTCAAATTATGCAGGTTAACCTTGTTGTAAGTTTAACTTTATTACAATACTAAATTCTTTTCATGTGTGTTGTCTTCCTAAGGTTTTGCTCACAGTACAGCTGCTTCAGAAACTGAGAGAGCTTATTAATGACCCCTGTTTCATTTAAAGAAAAGCTTCCTTGTACTTCAGGTCTTTGCTGAGATTCTCCAAAAAGAATACAGCTGGAGCCTGGTAGTAATGAGTCAGAGAATTTTAAACAGGATGTAAAACTAGCAATAAATAACAAAGCTATAAATACAAATAAAGTAATCAAGACAGTGTGGCATAGGACAGATCAATGGACTGGAATTGAGTGTCCAAAAATAAATGCACACGTGCATGGCCAGTTGCTTTTCCACAAAGGTGCCGAGAAGAGAGAATGGTCTTTTCAACTTATGGTTGAAGAGACTGGTGGTACTGGAACAATTGGTTATCCACATGCAAAAGAATGAAGTGGGGTTCCTTCCTCATACCATACACAAAATGAACTCAAAATTGATAAAAGATCTCAATGTAAGGGCTAAAACTATAAAATTCCTGGAAGAAACATAGGAGTAAATCTTCAAGTCCTTGGATTAGGCAACAATTTCTTAGATACGACATCAAAAAGCACAAGCAACAACAATTAAATGGGTGTCGGACATCATCAAAATTCAAAAATCATGTGCTTCAAAAGGTGCCACCAAGGCGTCACAATTCCGGACTTCCAGCTCTATTACAAAGCTGTCATCATACAGCATGGTAGTGGCACAAAAACAGACACATAGGTCAACGGGACAGAGTAGAGAGCCCAGAAATGGACCCTCAACTCTATGGTCAACTAATCTTCGACAAAGCAGGAAAGAATGTCCAATGGAAAAAAGAGAGTCTCTTCAACAAATGGTGTTGGGAAAATTGGACAAACACATGCAGAAGAGTGAAACCGGACCATTTTCTTACACCACACACAAAAATAAACTCAAAATGGATGAAAGATCTAAAGGTGAGACAGGAATCCATCAGAATCCTAGAGGAGAACACAGGTAGCAACCTCTTTGGCCTTGGCTGCAGGAATTTCTTGCTAGACATGTCTCCAAAGACAAGGCAAACAAAGGCAAAAATGAACTGTCAGGACTTCCTCAAGATAAAAAGCTTTTGCACAGTAAAGGAAACAGTCTATAAAACCAAAAGACAACCGACAGAATGGGAGAAGATATTTGCAAATGACATATCAGGTAAAGGGCTAGTATCCAAAATCTATAAAGAACTTATCAAACTCAACACCCAAAGAACAAATAATCCAGTCAAGAAATGGGTAGAAGACATGAACAGACATTTTTCCAAAGAAGACATACGAATGGCCAACAGATACATGAAAAAAGGCTCAACATCACTCGGCATCAGGGAAATACAAATCAAAACCTCAATGAGATACCACCTCACACCAGTCAGAATGGCTAAAATTAACAAGTCAGGAAACAACAAATGTTGGCGAGGATGTGGAGAAAGGGGAACCCTCTTACACTGTTGGTGGGAATGCAAACTGGTGCAGCCACTCTGGAAAACAGCATGGAGGTTCCTCAAAAAGTTAAAAATAGAGCTACCCTATGACCCAGCAATTACACTACTAGGGATTTACCCCAAAGATACAAATGTAGTGATCTGAAGGGGCACCTGCACCCCAATGTTTATAGCAACAATGTCCGCAATAGCCAAACTATGGCAAGAGCCCAGATGTCCATTGACAGCTGAATGGATAAAGAAGATCTGGTGTATGTGTGTATATATATATACACACATATATATATACACACAATGGAATACTACTCAACCATCAAAAAAAAAAAAAGAAATCTTGCCATTTGCAATGACGTGGATGGAGAGTATTATGCTAAGTGAAGTAAGTCAGTCAGAGAAAGACAATTATCATTTGATTTCACTCATACGTGGAATTTAAGAAACAAAACAAGAGCATAGGGGAAGGGAGGGAAAAATAAAACAAGACTAAATCAGAGAGGGAGACAAATCATAAGAGACTCTTAATCATAGGAAACCAACTGAGGGTTGCTGGAGGGGAAGGTGGTGGGGGTATGGGGTAACTGGGTGATGGGCATTAATGAGGGCACTTGATGTAATGAGCACTGGGTGTTACATGAGACTGATAAATCACTGAACTCTACCTCTGAAACTAATAATACACTATATGTTAATTAATTGAATTTAAATAAAATAAAATTTAAAAAAAGGTGCCATCAAGAAAGTGAAAAGACAGCCTATCAAATAAAATATTTGCAAGTTATATATCTGGCAAGGGACTTAACTCCAGAATATGTACATATCTCATACAGCTCAACATAAAAAGACAGATAACCCTATTTAAAAAAATGAGCAAAGCATTTGGACATTCCTCCAAAGAAGATATACAAATGGACAATAAGCACCTGAAAAGCTGCATCATTAGGCATTAGGGAAACTCAAATAAGAACCCCAGCGAAATGCCACTTCATACCCACTAGCTGGTTGTAATCAAGACAGATAACCAGTAAGTGTCGTTGAGGATATGGAGACTGGAACTCTCATGCTTTGCTGGTGGGAACGTAAGATGGTACAACAGCTTTGGAAAGAGACTGGCAGTGTCTCAAACAGTTAAACATAGAGTTACCATATGGCCCAGCTGTTTGACTCCTAAATGTATATCTAGGAGAAATGAAAACACTGTCTACATGAAAACTGTACATGGGGTGCCTGGCTGGCTCAATCAGTAGAGCATGTGACTCTTGATCTAAGGGTTGTGAGTTAAAGCCCCACATTGGGTGTCGAGCCTACTTAAAAAAAAAAAAAAAAAAAACTTCTCCCTCTCCCTGCCCCCCCCCGTGCTCCCCACTTGTGCTCTCTCTTGCTCTTTCTCTCAAATAAATAAATAAAATCTTAAAAACTGTACATGAGTATTCCTAGCAGCATTCCTCAACAGCCAAAATGTGGAAACAACCTAAACATCTATCAGATAATGAATGGATAAACTGTGGTATATCCATGCAAAGAATACTATTCAGCCATCAAAAAGAATGAAGTACTGATACAGGCTACAACATGGATGGACCTTGGAAATGTAAAGCCATCACATATTGACTGATTCTGTTTATGTGAAATGTCCAGAAGAGGCAAATCCATAGAGACAGAAAGTATATGGTTGCCTAGGGCTAGGTGGGGAGAAGAGGGTTTGGGGAGTGGCTGCCAATAGGCATAGGGGTTTCTTTTTGGGGTAATCACAATATTCTAAAATTAGATTGTGGTGATGGTTACACTAAAGACCCCTGAGCTATACGTTTGAAGTGTGCGAATTTTATTAGTATGTGAAATAGATCTCAAATCTTAGAAAAGGTAATAGTTGATATCTAAAAGGTAAAAAGACAAAAAGCCTTCAGTGTAAGCAGTCAAATTGTATTTACTTTTTAGATAACCAGATTTTTAGTAAGTGCTTATTTAGTGCCTGCAGTTCATTATGTCGGCAAATGTTTGTCCCCTTTGTAGGGGTGTGCTGTAGGGTCATGAGCAGAAAGATGCCTGCGCCCAGCTTTGCCCCTGGTCTTTGTGCCTGGGGGATAGCAGCTGTCCCTGGGCCTGGCCTCTTTTGCTTTTTTCCCCGTTTGGGAAGGTGTCAGGCTCCAGAGCATTTCTGTGGCTTTAGTCAGCGCAGAGCAAGGGGGACCTTAACTATAGTTTCAGAGCCTTAAGCTTCCCCTCGTGCTCCAAATCCAAAACAGAGCAGCTGAGAATGGGGCTAGCGAGGCCGCCAATTGCTTCAGTCCCATTGTTAATCCCCCTAATTCTGCCATCCACCAGCACCGCTCCCTCCACACTGTCATGTTGCCCGCTTGTGATAGGAGGGAACAAGTGGTTTGGCTTTGAAAGGTGATTCTTCGAGACACCTCAAGTGACCCAGCCCCTGGCTTGCCGGGATGCTCTTGACATTCGTTGCCATGGGGCACCGGAAGTCTCTGGCCAAAGCACACTTGCCAGTCAAGCCCGGCCTGAAGAGACAGTAACCTCTCCTGACTCCCCTGAGATCCTGGCCTAGCTAGCAGGCTTGTCAGGGAGAGCATTTCATTGCTAGGCGCGGACAGTGAGAAACTTCCAGTGCCTTTTGGCTCTTAGAGAAGCGTTCATGGTCTGGCATTCAGATTATTAAATCACTTGACAGCATGGCCCAGTTGGCGTGGTGATAATTATGTATATGATACACTGTATTTTTCCTTTGCTCTGTCATTACCTGGTCAGGATGTTACAGCTCATTTAAAATTTCATCCATCTTGGGGGCACCTGACCGGCTCAGTCGGTAGGGCATGCCACTCTTGTTCTCGGGGTTGTGAGTTCAAGCCCCACATTGGGTGCGGAGATCACTTGAGAAAAAAAACTTAAAAATCTTTAAAAAATAAAAAGAATAATAAAATTTCATCTATTTCTTTCACAAACCCTGGATTTTATGCCCCCTCCAAAAATGAGTCATTTTTCAGTCTATATGTACTTTTTTCACAGAGCCCTAGAACTAAACTCATTCTAATTTCTCTCTGTTCCCAAATTGATGAATTTATCAGTGTACTGAGGTGTTTGTTATATTTACGAAAGAATACCTCCTCATAGCGTGTGGACCGAGAAATGCAGCTGGAAATTGGGGGGTAACAGCGCGTGGTAGCGTGTGACTTGCTGTCATGTGTGTCTCTCTAATCCCCACTCCCCGTGCTCCTGGCGCTCGCAGAGTGTAAGGAAAGCCTCTTCTCCCTCCTGGGCTCTCCCTTCTTGCTGTAGGAAGGGGAGTAGCAGGAAATGGAATCTGCCCCGGTCATGGGATTTTTGAAAGAAACAAAGCATGATCTGATGAGGAGCAGGTTAATCCTGCTATTTCATTTCCCTTTCAGAGAGGGCGGGGGCTGGATTGTGATATGAAGTATTCGGTTTCACATCTGTTCCAGGAATTATCCTCGGCATAAATCCATTTTTCTTTTAAGCATCCTAAAGCATCCCAGGGAGCTCCTCCTCCTGTGCACCCTTCCCACCCCCACAGTCAATTTCATGGCCACAGAGCAGCTGACAGCCTCCCAGAGAGATCATCTTGTCATTGTTACAGGAGGAATCTCTTAAGTCCTGGAGGTCCAAATTTCTGTGGGTCAGTACTATCAGTTTTGGGTCTGCTCTCCACGAAGGTTTGGAATAAAAAGGAAGTAGCATGCCAGCAGTGTGGTATAATGGAAAGAGGACCAATTTAAAAATCAAGAGGAAAGCTTTGCTACTAACTATTTATATGATCTTGGGCAAGTCACCAAACCTCATTGGGGTCAGGACCCTCATCTGCAAAATTACAGCAATGTTTTCCAGGGTGTTCTGCAAAATGCAAGTCTTCTAAGTCAAATAAGTTTGAGAAATTCCACTTATGCTATGCCATTTCTTAAGGAGTCATAATATATATTTGTACATCTGAGGAGTCTTTCAATAAAGAAACTTGTTTTTCACCCAGAGTTTCTCAAATTTATCTAACACTAGAACTCTTTTTCCTATAATGCTGATTAACATCTTGACACTTTGAGAAATGAAGTAGAAATCTATAATCTGTCACGAGCCATGTTTGCCAACCTCAGTTGAAACTAACTTTTCAACTTCCAAATCTCATTCTTGAGAAAAAGAAACATAATTTCATATGTGGCAAGGTGACTTCTAGTTTTAAAAACTGAACTTAAGGGCCAACGCAATTATTCTGACCAACACAGGCTTGTGACTAGAGTTTTGAAAAAGTTTTGTGGAACTTCTGTTTTCAACTTCCACCTTTCAGATGGTTAGCGTGTTCTTATGGCCTTTGGGGGTGTGGTAGGAATTTCCTACAAATAATTATTCTCAGCACACTATTAGGTTCTCATAAGGAATAACTGAATAAATCACAAGATCCCCAACCCTGAATTCAGAGACAAAGCATATATACAAGGAAAAATAGGATTCTAGGTTTTAGAGTGAGGCAAAGAATGATTACAAATTTATATTTTGAGAAATGTTAGTATATATTATTAATTAAATATCTACTGAGAAGATGCAGAGCAGACAGGGACTCAAGGCAGTAATATAAGTAAAACATGAAAGAAAATTCAACAAACAACTGGATCAGGGGTCAAGTGGGAAGTATATGAGGGAAAAAAATGTGAAAATAGGATCAGGCAAAGAAGTACTTTTAGTACCTTGAGAAAGTAGCAGTCGCTGGTACAAATATTGAGACTGAAATTAAGTTCTGGCTAAGATCGATTTTAGCCAGACAATCCTAGCATTAGTAAAAAAGTATGGCTAATAATAGATCTTCACCCTCAGTCTCATTCTGCATTTATCCTTCATGCTGCTCTTCAAGTGATCTGTTAACAACAGTCATAATTATGACACTTCCCCACTTAAAAATCTTTAAAAGCTCCCTTCAAAGTGCAATGGGTAACCAAAGCCCCTCATGGTCTTCTCTCTTCTCTACGTGTATTTTCCACCACTCCCCTGGCAGGGACCTTGAAATTCAAGTCTTTCTAAGCCACTCGCCACATTGTCTCAAACTCCCCACCCCTTGTAGGCACTCTCTTCATTCAGGGAAATCCGGTCTCTTTTTGGCTAACTCTGGCCCATGCTTCAGGCTCCAGATCTTGTCATCACTTCCAAAATTTTTCACTGACCACAGTGCCCACTTTCATCTCTTACCACCAACTCCTGTAGCTTCCTTTGCCTTCCTCTGTCATAGAATTTGCTAAAATATTTTATTTTACTTGTTGGCCTCTACCATTAGATTTATAAATTCCCGGGGGGAATTTATAGGAGTAAATGTCATTCACAAGTCAGTCTCTGGACAGTGTTAAGATCAACTATATAGTGTTTATGTCCTGTTAATTATGGGTTTTTTAGTAACTATTTCTATACTCTCTGTCCATGGGACTTCTCAGAGGAAACAGTAACTCCATGCCATTTTTGCTGTGAACTTTTTCCCTGGTGTTCAGGGGCTGTATTCCTTCACCCAGGAACTTATGTGGGGGAAAAACAAGCATATAATCGAGTACCTATCTTTAATAAGCTAAAGATATTAAACCCACTACTTACTGACTGTTAAAAAGATTAGGAGATTTATACAGACATCTTCTAGAATTGACTCAGTAACAAACTAGGGTGTATGTGCCCATACTTTATGAATTGACCATTTTCAGAATATAGTTGTTTGCTTACACCTACTTTTCATTCATTCCAACACAGCCCCCATCAAAAATAAGAATGCAAAATCAAGTTTCTTTTAACTGAAATTTATTTATTTGTTTGTTTAGAGTAACATCTTGAATCCTGGGAGAGAACGGTAATAGACAGATATTCAGTAGGTTTCTATTCATTGGTGAACTCATGCTATCATTATTGCTTCTAGAATTCCATAATGGCGTTAGATTTGTCTTCAGTGACCCATCATTGTGTAAATGTATAAAAATCACCTTTTGCCGAAAATACACAATTCAGAATCCCTTGCGAGGCCTCCCAAATCCCATTTACTAGTGGCAGAGAGTAGAAGTATGTATTTCTAAACAGTAATTTTTGATACCCTCACCACCCCTGATACCACTTCCAGTTAAAAACCAATGTTCTCGGGGCACCTGGGTGGCTCAGTCGTTAAGCGTCTGCCTTCGGCTCAGGTCACGATCCCAGGGTCCTGGGATCGAGCCCCACATCGGGCTCCCTGCTCGACGGGAAGCCTGCTTCTCCCTCTCCCACTCCCCCTGCTTGTGTTCCCTCTCTCGCTGTGTCTCTGTCAAATAAATAAATAAAATCCTTCAACAACAACAACAACAACAAAAAAACGATGTTCTCCTTGGGCAGTAAGCCCTAGCAGTCCAGGCAGAGAAGTTAAGTCCTGACTGACTGAACAGAATGGTGTGGAATGGTGAGAAAATGAGAATAGCTGTTGCTTTCTACACCCATTGTAACTCCTAGCTATTTTCATAATGTTGATGGAAAGTGATAACTGATGGCCTCGTCACCATGAGTAACCTTGTATGTGACCCACTGTCTGAGAAGAGACCTCGGGTGACTAATTAAAATATAGTGCATTCTGAAATGTGTTAAAATGGCTTTTTAAGATTTATTTATTTTAGAGAGTTTATGCAGTGAGGAGGGAGAGGGAGACAGAACCTTAAGCAGACTCTACACTGAGCTCAGAGTCCAACGCAGGGCTCAATCCCATGACTCAGAGATCACGACCCAAACCAAAACCAAGTCTGACGCTTAACTGTGCCAGCCAGGTGCCCCAAGATGTTTATTTTTTAAATAGATAACTTTTCTTAGCTGAGTTAGATACTCATATAGGTATGTTTAATATTAAAATTAGTTTTGAGCCCTCCTGCCTCCGGGATCTGCCATCCGGAAACAAAAGAGGCAGTTTGGGAGATGATCCAATAGAACATTTTTTAAAATACTGTACACCTATTAACAAATTGTAGAAGAAGAAAATTTCACCTTTTTAAAACAATCTATGCTATAATCACATTTTTATTTGTACAATCCACAAAAAGGAAAGATCAGACTTAGAGTCTGGGATATTTTCCTTTCAATTGAATGCACAAATAAAAGAAAAAGGTATTTGTACAGATTAACTGATGAAGACTTAATATGAAATCTTCCATGTACTTTATAACCTGGATAATTCTGAGTTGATATAATCTTTACAAGTCCCAGTGTTGTTGAGACACTAAAATGGGGGATTTTATATATTTTCCCAAGTGTGGTCACACCATCTCTTTGTGTATTAGCTCCCCCCCTAAAAATGAGGGAATTGGACAAGATGCTATCAAACACTCTTTTGGTTTGAGAAAAGGAAAAAACAAAACACCTCTCTAGCTATACTATAGGAGGTAGACAAATGATAGAGAGGTGGGGTCTCCAGTCAGGTAACTGGTTGTAGCTGAAGTAGCTTGGCCTAGCACCCATCAGATAAGGCTGTTAACAAATGAAATGTACTTTCCACATCTCCCATGCCAGTCAGTTGGCCGGTTTTGATCATTTGTGAATTTTC